ATACATATACTTACCATGAGAGGGTTTTTGTTTAACTTTTGTTAATATGTCAATATTTCAATTGTTCACTATTTTGGATTTTGGTTTTATCAGCCATATGTAAATTGCATGCTAATTTTGGTTTTAGAGAAGTCGAATCCACATAAATCATGCACATGTCTGAAAGACTTATTAACACATTAAATACATGTGAATTTTACATTTAAAAACGGACTAGTTTCTGTGTTGAGATACGATATTGTAATGTTCGTGGGTTTAACAAAATTAACTTCTAAGACTGATAACGACAAAAACTATTTATTTACACTAATTATTAAAGGACTTAAAAACACTATTAAATTATTACTAAGTTTAGGTTATGAATTATTCTATTTATTTACACTACTGTTCATATATCACTATTCACTGTGCTATTTATTTCATTGCTATCACTGTCAATTTATTTCTGAATTCACTTCTGCAACGGTCAATTTATTTTCTTCTTCTCTCGGCGATCGTCTCTTCCTTTAAATACTCTTTTGTTTACTTTCTGGAACCTTCTAGAAACATCCGGATAGTTTATTTTTCCTGTTTAACTGCTTTCCCAGAAACCAGGTACGACACACACATTTACAAATACGGCGCACATGAATAAAGGCGCCCGCGACTAGTCGGCGAATCGATAAGCCGTTCACACACACGTGTGCCCGATCGCACACAAACACACTCGTGCTCGCTACAATATTTTCAACAATTTCGTCTTGCATAGCTACAAATTTTTCAATGCCTCATGAAGACGGACGACTGAAATTACGCTCATATGCAATAAACGGCAAAATCCAATAAGAACGGATTATGTTCTTAATCAGTAATTTATCGACACTACGAGACGAAGATCGCGATTTCGAATTTATTTAATCTCTTCAGTATGCCATATGCAGTCTTAGTGGAACAGGTTTCAACACAGTATCAGAAGTTTATTTTTATTATTTTATGATCTTCCTCTAATATTACAATTTCATTTTTCATTGTTATTAATTACACAATGTAATTTAAATATTTAATTACTATACAATACTTTATTTAAATTTGAAAAACAAATTGACAGTACATTTCTTTTATAATTTATTAATATAGTATCTATAATTTTATAAAATATTATAAGGATAGTATGGATAAAAAATATAAGTCTCGATAAAATAATGTAAAATGTAATACGAAGTACCACCCTAACTTCCCTTGTA